GAGAACGTTTTTCCTTTATCATGGAACATAAAGAGAATGTTTTATAGAAGAACGTTCTGTCATGTGTTCCCTCAACAACATCCCCAAAACATCCTCGAAACACTGCAGGCAGAACGTCCCACCTGACTTTAAAACGTTAACTTTGTAGGAACGTTGCTGAAAATGAAAACTTTCTCCAAACGCTCTTTAAACATTTGATTGAAACATTTTCTTTTACAAAATATTGAAATGTTATCCAACGTTGTGGGAACATTTTCTGCCAGCCGGTTCTTTACACAAACATGTAGCTCTGAATAATCCACAAAACTCCCCGTCGACTGTTTTGTCTAAATGAGTTCCCCTAGAAACAGAACGCGTCTTCTCTGGCGAGCTGACCCTTTAACTGTGAAACTGCAGCAGCTCTTCCTCACCCCGCCTCAACATATCCTGTTTTTGGCGTGTCCAAACTCCGAATAAAGCTCTGATTCAGGCGCACAGCTGCAATCCTTTGCCCTCCTTTCCTCTCTCCTTCGTTACACCCTCTCCTCTCCCTTCCTTTTTAACGCTCGCACACAAGTCGCCCATTTCTGATATCAGACCTGCTTCCTCCAACTTCACACCCATGTGGTTAAATGCGTCTCTCTTCTCCAGCAGGTGGGGACTGTTATTCTGGAATTAATTATTTTCTTTATGTCTCGTTGAGTCCTGCATCCTTTTTCCTGCTTCGGTCTGGAGCGGGTTATGCAACCTCGTCAAGTCTTTCATCACCTTGTGAACACAGACGACTTGATAAAAGTGAACGTTTAAACATTTCCCCAGAAAAAAAAATAATTAAAATTTATTATAAGTTTGCAAATGCACCAGCAGAGACACATACATCTATAAATACAGACACAGATTTGATCTTGCAAACACATTTTTTTGTCACTTTAATTTCTCTGTTTGCTGCCAAAAAATAAAAACAGCTGAAAAATTAAGAAAACAAAGGAGGTTCTGATTCATAGACGGAGCAGTACAATATGGTTTTTATTGCATTCTATTATATTCCAGCAGCTATAGATATATTTAGCACACTGGTTGCAGTGATGATGCAGTCACATGGATAAAATCCCCCAACAGTTTCTAATGAAGCTAAAAATGAAACTTCCTTTATGAAATGTTTTGTTTTTTTTCTCGTCATTTTCATGATACGATCGAACTGCGTCACAGGAGCTTGAAATAATTTAGTCATCTCTGTTGCAATGACACAGAAACTCACGTAGGCCACATGACGTTTCCTGGACGCTTGCACAAAATGAAAAACCTGTTAGAAATGATTTCCAGGCACCGTGTATAAGCTGTAATAGTCAAATGAAATAAAGAAAGGCAGCGAAGGTGTTTGAATTTCCTGTGAATTACATTTTGATGCTTTTATTCTATACTTAAATGATGAACTCAGAACTTTTTAGATTGGAGTATTTCTATTTTTTCTGACTGAAAGACTCAGAAAGTCCAATTAGCATGTTTGTAACACTGATCAGACGTAAAACACGTCAAAAATAAGACGATATCCTCGATCAAAAATGCAAGTAGTCTACGTCTCGGGCCTTCTGTGTGTCATTCAAACACTATTTGGCAGCGGTGCGTTTTGTATGACGGTATGTAAGCGTAGAAGACCAGTTACTAATACACTAAGGCAAGAACAGAAGGCTTCATATTTAAGGAAGTTTTTCAGAAAGAAAACGTATGAAAGCAGCAAGATGCAGGCGACGCTTAGAGGAAGCAGGGGAAGAAGTATAAGAATTGAGCAAAGTTGTCATTAGGCAAAGCTACATTTCCAGATCTGATTTTTATTAGTTATGTTTTTTAGTTTTTAGAGCCTTTATCTTTTCTCTTTAATGGATCCAGACTAAAGAGTATTAACAACATATAAGATGTACCAATCTTACTTCAGCTGTAAACCCCGGTCTACGTCAGAGGTTTGCCAACATTTCTGTCACAAGGAACACCTTCACATGTGATTATGTGTTATGTAAATCATCAAAAGACTTAATCCAGGCACACGGCTTGAGAACCACAAGCCGCCACTCACTGCTGGGTCAGTTAGAATCTGTTGTATTGCCAAGAAAGTTTTTGCATACGAGGACTCTGACTTTTGGTGCATAGCAGTGACGTGTGGAAAAAAGTTAAAGAAGAATTGAGAAATAAAAGGCAAGTGTTGCAATTCAGTCAGCAGCAGTATTACCAAACAAATGGGGAACAAGTGCTTCAGGTCAACAGCGAGTTCAGCAAATCCAAGGAATTACAGTCCTCAGAAATATTTAAGAATGTGCTAATCGTAACGTCAAGCAGTATATAGTATAAACAACGTGAGATGCACAAAGGATGGATAACGTTCCTGTTTAAAAAGCTAAATGTAAAGCATGGAGTCCTTGTTCATGGTGGAGGACTGGGTGAGAGATGCAGTGTCGTCTGGGTTCTGTGGCCTTGTTGATGAGGTGGTTCCAGTCCAGATGGGCCGCAAACCTCCTGTCCAGAGGGGAGGGGGTCCAACAGGTAATGTGTGCACAGGTGATGATATTGTAGAGAGTACATAGTGTTTTATACTTACTTTACATTAAAAATAACTTGACAACGGTGCAATTCTCAGGTTACAATCAAAAGATTTCTGGACTCAGCTGAGACACCGATGTTTGAAGACAACACCTCAGACAGACAGAAAGACAGACAGACAGACAGATAAATAGAGAGACAGACAAACAGATAAATAGACAGACAGACAGAAAGATAGACAGATAGATAAATAAGTACATAGACAGACAGATAAATAGAAAAATAACAGACAGACAGACAGACAGACAGACAGACAGAGAGACAGATAAATAGATAAATAACTAGACAGACAGATAAATAGATAAATAAACACACAGATCCTGTTAACAGTCATACATACAGGGGGGTTTGTTTGCTGGTCCCTGATTGGCTGCCTCCGCCGAGGCCCCGCCCCCTTCCCCCCTGCTCCGCACCGGCTGTCTCTCTGCAGCCAGTTGTCATTAAGCGCCGCTCTAACGGTGACTGAGTGACAACAAATACACAGTTTTCGACCTTTCAAAGTTGCTTTAAAAGTGACAAAATTGGCGTTAACTCCCGAGACAGCGTCCACCAACAGCGCCAACATGGTTTTGAAGTCGGAGGACGGAGTTGGTAAGTTGTCCGACCCGCTTTAGTTGAGCGGCGCTAACCTAGAGGCTAACCAGGTTAGCTAGCGACTAGCATAAAAGTTTACGTGGTTAGCGATGGATGGGTGAAAGGAGCTCAGAGTTGTCTGGATGGCAGGTAGTTTGACGTAGTTTTTTTTTGGCTGTTTAATTTTCCTGTCAACAGAGCGACAGCAACAAGTCCTCATCTGACTGGTTTGTTAAAGCTCCCTGGCAGACTTTATTAACTGGCACAAGGGATCTATTATTATTAATCTGGATCGGGGCCAGACCTCATGGGGGGTCGTGCTTACTGCGCAGCGCTCCATAGTTCACGAGTCTATAAATACAGTCAATGCACCCATTTATTGGTCGGACATGAACGAACTGCCCTCGAATATACTCAGTTGACTTGGCTGCAGGCGCTGCTGTACTCAGTTTCCCCAACTTGTGGTGCAAAGAGTTGAGCGCAGTAGGAAGCTGTGGAGAGACTGCAGCAGGCCAGCAATGCAATAAAACAGGGCTGCAGCTAACAATTACCTTCAGTGTCAGCTAAATTTTTTGGACTAATTGGTCTGTAAAATGTCAGAAGATGCTGATCAGTGTTTGCCAAATCCCAAGATGATTTCTTGTCTTGTCCACAACCCAAAGATATTCAGTTTGCTGTTATAGAGGAGTAGTAAGAAGCAAGAATCAGACCATTTAAAAAAAAATGACTAAAACTGATGAATTGATGATCAGGATTGTTTCCCCCGGCAATAAATGGAGCTGCCACACCCTGTCTCTTTCTGTCAGATGGAAAATGCCTGTCAAATAGATGTCCAGATGTGTTTTAAGATGGGAAAACCTATCAAAATCAGTAATAGCTCATTCTGTCATGTAATAAAAGCAGAAGCACCACTTGTACAGGTGCAGTTTCAGAGCTATTTTCCACTCGTCAGCCTGACTGCTACCTCATTCTTCTAGTTTTACTAGCGGTGGTTCATTTTTCCGTTCTGTTTAAATGACTTCTCTGCCCTGAGAGAACAGTTCACATTGTCAGACTTCACCACCTTCTCCCCTGTGTGACAGTAGGGATGTTTTTCTGTTTTGTGTGTCGGGGCACATGGTGTTCTCATCTGATCTTCCCTTGCCATTTGTTTTTGCCTCCTTACTTATTGGACTTTTGAGCCTTAAGGCGGCGCGAATGCAACCAGGGAGGAGGATTATATCACCGTTGAGCTGCTTATCCTGGGGTCAGGAAACACTGAAACGGACAATCATCACCTTGTGAGCGCTGAAATGGACGCTGAAACTCCCAACCTTGGAGCACACATAGTTTTCTCTTTGCCTCGGGTCCTCGGTCATGCTTTCATCTGTGACCAAACGCATGTGACGAGCAGAAAAAGAAGGTTATTTACCTCTTCCAGAACACAGAGTCGGGTAGTTTAATGTTGGCTGACGAGAAGAAGTGAGTCAACTTCTTGCACCCTCCTCATTTCTTTACATTGTTTTGAAGACAATGCAAAGCTGCGCCTCCCGCCTTCTTCTTCTTCTTCACTCTCGGACACCGGCGTCCACGTGGGGGAGCCTGTGTTTGATGCTCCGCTCATAGATGGAGGGAGGGAGGAGTCAAGATGGACAGAAGGAGGGGGGAGAGAGATGAGAGTTCAAGGGTTTCCCCCCCTCACACACACATTTGTCCTCATCCTCATTTAGCTGCAGGCCTGCTCCCCTCCTCTCCCCTCTGCTGGACTGAGGATTAGAGGGGCAGGGAGGCTGGACTGGAGGACCACAGGATTGGGATTGGGATTGGAAAGCTCGGGCAGGGCTGGTCTATTTCTGTGCTAGTGGAAACACCAGCTTGGAGTGCAAGAAGCAGTGCTGGAACTGGTGACTGAGCTAGAGCTGTGGACTGTGGAGCTGGTCCAGAAGGAGTGTTCTGGGCTGAACTGGTTATACTGGGACCCACTGAGCCTTTTGGTGAAGCCACTCAGCAGAGAGAGAGAAGCGTTTTCTGGTATGAACCTGAGAATTATGACACAAATGTGTAGGCGTGCAGTGTGTTGTCATGACTTCTGCTTTCGTGCTGATTTGTAGGGTTTTTTTTTTTTGTACCTGAATGAGTGAATGAATGTGTGTTTTGTCACGTCTTGTAATCAGAGCCGGAAAACCAGGCAGCACAGTAGCTGCAGATTGATTAACGTGGTTTTGTCGGTGCATGTTCGGGAGGATGTGATGTGTTGCGTAACTTGTAAAACAGATAGTAGAAGTGCTAAAGAGAGAAACTTTGGGCCTGAGTTTGTTGGTTGTCCTGAGCAGCTGGTCATCAGCAGCGTGGCCGTGACAAGGTGTCCCATTACTTGGCATCACAAACACACACTTGATGACCTCGAGACTATGCGAAGCAGCTGGGCGAGGAGCGTAAAGACGCATGTTGTTATTTATGTCAGAATGTGTGTGTTTTTGTGTTTAGAAAAAAAAAGATGAAATGACAGTGTTTCATAGGCTGGCATGAATCCTTGCTCTTATTTCCTCTGTTAATGAAAAGACAGAGAGAGGAAGTGAGTGTAAACTGCCGGTTTCGCTGCCTCTCCGCTCACAATAGTGTGTTATTCTTGTCCTCAGGTTTATAATAAGAGCTGCTCCGGCCTACTTAAACCTTTCTCTGCGGGTACGGGGTATGTGGGTGTGTAATGAGCCGGTGCGTCACTGTCTGTGTGTGTTTGCAGTATGTAAATTATATCAGTATCCAAGGCGCCAATACGCCTCGGACTTGTATGAATTTGCCTTGCGGAGCCAGACATGTCTACAGGTCCGGAGAAAGCTTTTTAAAATGTCTTGACAAAAACATAATACCTTTTTTTTTCTTTTTTTCTTTTTAAATTCACCTGTCACAGTTTCTCAAGGATGGATATTTGCAAGACTTGTGTAATGATGAACTGATAGAACTACAGCTCGGTCAGGTTGAGCTGTGGCAACTTTTGATGGACTTTTTCACTGTTTTCTCATATTTAATTAGACCACACTGTTGATTGATAATGAATAAATAATCTGCAGGTTAATGGAAACAATCATTAGTCCTGCATGTTAGCTGTTGTGTCCCTTTAAAGGTACAGCAGGTTGTATCCCTTGTAAACTCTGTAAACCTGGTTTAAAGATCTGGGAAAAGCTGATAAGTGGACTTGGAAGTTTCCAAGGTTAACCTTCACACTCAAGTCTTTGAGATGACTGGATATTTTTCAATTCCCTCAGTCTGTGAATATGTTATAAGCGACAGAGATGTGGAGCCCCGGTATTTTTTTTTCTGTTCATACACACCATGTCTGGGCCAAATAGAGGGATTTAAAAAAAATTCAAAATGCTAAAAAGATGTTTTGTTTGTTAAAGTCTTGAAATATACTGGCCTCACATTGTTTTCCCAGAGGCTGACACTGAGTAACTTGGTCATGATGGCGTTGTGAAACGAACAGTTTGCTTGAATCCCGCTGCAGGAATCCTCTAATGAGGCTGACAAACAGCAGCAGCACAGCTTGATTTGTCCTCTGTGGCGGCTTGTTACTCAGCATAATTTGTGCCCTTTCTTCCCCTTTTCTCTGCTTCTCATTTTTTCTATGCCTCGGAGAAGAAAAAAATCCATAGCAGGAGCTTTATAATGAGGCACCTGCAAGAGGAAGAACTATTTTGTTTGACAGCGCAGAGGTGTGATGTTTGAAAATGTGTAGATGTGAAACATGAAATCTGCAGATGGGCCGCTGACACCACAGCGCTGCATTCCTTGTGTTAATATTGGAATGCTGTCTCATCTTTCTTTTCTCGAGAAAAACCTCAAGTCGGTTGCTGACAGCTCTACATTTCCCTCCTTATCCAACCTTATCGTTCCTCTGCAGATATAATGTGTGTGTGGGCACATGAGCTTCTGTTCTATCGGAGGACACACTCGGTCATGTACAGTTATGGGTGTGTTTTACATAGAGGGCGGACAGCAGCACAGTCGGCATGACATATACAGGAACTTATCAAATCTAATGTGCCGTTTAAAGAGAAACTTGCAGGTCGGCGACCTCAGCGAATTAATGAGCAGGGAAACGAAGCAGAAGCTATGTCTATATACATGCACTACAATAACATTTAGGGTAGTTTCTGTGGCTACAGGATGCACGAGGAGCAGCTAATTGACATGACGTTTTACGATGCCTGACTAATTTAAAAGTTTGCAAACATAAAAGTAAGCTTTGACGACCGTTGGTCCCGCTGGCGTCAGCACCAGACGTTTCCTTTGTCGTTTGTTTAGTAAAATTTATCCGTTTTTGTCTTCTAGCTTGTATTAATAATGGGCAACTTGTCTGAACAACAAAACCTTCAGTTAATACTGACGATAAACTGTACTGAAAGCAGCAGTACTGTTCAGGGCCACGGGGCTCCAAGAAACTCCACCGCAGGGACCAGGGTCTAAATTGAGTTTAGGGGAAATTATTTTGCCTGTCAGAAAGTAGCAGTACTTTGTTGTTTAGGAACTTTGGGAGCAGCTTGCTGAGTTTAAAAACCTTTGATTCGCCGAGTGCTTGCAGCATTTTATTTTAGCTGTAGCTGCTGTTGACAGATTGACGTGGAGTCACACGGGGAAGCGACGGACAGACGACAAAGCTTGAAAATGACGAGTAAAAACAGCCGTTACTTTCCTGTCTTTAATGAAGTGTGGTCCTTAAATTTGAGAGCATTATTTTTTTTCCATTTTATGAGCTATTCTCAAACCCCGTCCTTCTGAAAGAGATTCTGCTTGTTGCAAATCTGCTCGGCTCCAAACTGTTTGTCTGCTTGGCTCAGATGTGTTGTTGTTCTTGTGCTTTAGTTTGAGTGTCTTCCCTCCCACCCTCTGCTGCTTATTATATGTACTTCACTTGCTCTCTTGTAGGACTTCCGAGTACCCGTGTCTGTATTTTTTTTTTACTATTCTAGCTACGTATAGTAGTCGCCCCATTCCTGTCACTTCACTGGAGGAGAAAATGAGGTCAATTAGTTTTTCTGCAGCATCCCTTAAGGGTGGTTACTGTTTAACCGGGTCCAGCGTGGATCAGCCAAATCAAGGACCTCAATTAAGGCTTTTGTTTTAATGGCGCTTTACTTTCATCCAATTTAATTAGTAAGGGCATAGACCACGCTCTGGATTAAAGATGGAAAAGTATCCCATACAGCTGTCATTTTTTTTAAATGGACTAAGTCACCTAATCTTTCCGGGTCTTGAGGCTGCATTAGAAACAGACAACCAATGAAAAAAAAAACGCTGAGAAAAAACATTCCCAGCACTTGAGGTGGAAATGCTGCTTTGGTGTGTTAAGAGAAATGTACACTACTGTGTGGCTGTATGTCCAATAGTTGTCAAGACATCTAATAAAAAATATAAATATTAACTTCAAGAGAAAAGATCAACAAGAACCAACCAGTTTAAAAGATGCTTAGAAATAACTGGTGGGCGGATAGATGTTGTTAAATTGTTGGTATTATAGCCAAAAGTCATCGTATTTCAGCTTGTTTGTTTGCGTCTGTGTAAGACAAAAAGGTTTGATTTCACCCTCCGGTTCAGGTCTGGATGCGGGGGGGTGATGTGATGGATCACAGATTGTGTTGCCATAGTGACCCAGAGCAGTGGGACTCTCAGGTCTCTTTGCTTACTGTGTGCTCGTGCTTGTGTATATACAGTATTTCTGTTGTGTGTACGAGGAAGAGAGAATATTTGATCTATGTGTCTGAGTGCTGCGTGTGCTTGTGTCCTCAGTGCCTGATGACCTCAGTCCGGAGGAGCGACAGGAGCTGGAGAGCATCCGCCGGCGAAAAGAAGAGCTGCTGCAGGACATACAAGTAAGAACACTGTGTCAGGGCCTGGAGGTGCTCCGTCATCAACTCCTTAAAGTAAATCCAAGGGTTCATCTGGGGCCTAATGCATAACACTGTGTAAAATAATGCCTCTCTGTACCAGGGCTGTAACAAAACTCGTATCATCATCAATCATTCCCACTCTTCAATGAATCAATTAGCTGCAGGGAAAGAAAGAAATCTGCACATTGTTTCTGGATGAACTAAACCATCCACTGAGTTCACTCTTCCTGCTCGCCTTCTTAGTCTAAATGAATGATAAATCAACATAAAAAGCTCGTGTTTGCAGCGTATTAAATAGTTTTAACCTCAGTGGAATGACTCCAAGCAGACCATTCTGCCCATATTCACAGATTTTCCTAGAATTCCTGTTGAGGAATATAATGTAGACACGTTGGCCTGCTGTTTTTAGATGATGTGCCATGTTGGTAGTTGCACTGTGATATGAAAAGTGCTGTTTTCAAAGTTAACTTTTTGGCCATCTGTTTGAACAAAATGCAGCGATACAGCAGGCCTCTTTGACACCACGTCTGGTCGTTTGGTTCCAACTCTGAGTAAATGTTCAGTAAATGTTTAATTAGTTGGACCTAACAGTGTCTATTAGGTTGGGCAAGTTCAAAGTTTTGAAAACGTGAGGGTGTTAACAGGTCGTCTTTTTAACCAGCTACCAACAATAATGGAGAGAAGCCATTGATGTCAAACTCAACAGAGGTGGAGGTCTGAGGCGTCACCTCTCACGTGTTTACAGTTCAGTCCTAAGATCTCTCCCCAAGAAGATGAAACCACATTAACACCTAGCCACAATGACCTTAACGAACCCCACTGTGGCAGCACTAATGAGTCTCATAACGAGGGGGAGGAGCAACAAACCCCCAATTGAAACCGAAACTCAGGTGTTAATGGCTCCTACGGATAGTAGTATGTGGAACTCCCAACCAGTCAGTCAGAACTGATGAAGCAATTGTCAAACCAATAAGAATAAATCAGAGCAGCCAGTCAGCTTGGAGTCTACAATAAAAACAGAAATATTTATTGTTTATGTCATGTTAATTTTTTACAAATCTCAATACTTGTGGAATTTGGGGCACTTGCACAAGCCCAGTCAGCTGTAAATGGAGGTAAATATGCAGTTTACTTGTTGGTGTACTGAAACTTGCATTTCCTCCACCGCTCTTTCGACCTGTCAGTGATGGACAACAGTTGTGTAGAGCTGTGGATAAATTAGGTGAATTAGCCAATAGCCGTCTGTTTTTGCTGCGTGCCATTAGATGTTTTGTAGGTCTGCATGACATGATGAGAATCTACCAAGTACGATAACATTGTTCAATATTGCAATGACGGGCTGCACGGTGGGGCAGTGGTTCGCATCGTCGCCTCACAGCTAGAAGGTCGCCGGTTCACGTCCCAGTGAGGAGCTTTCTGCTTGGAGTCTCCATGTTCTCCCCGTGCAGCGTGGGTTCTCTCTGGGTTCTCCGGCTTCCTCCCACAGTCCAGAAACATGCTGTATGTCCCTCCAATACTCAACCAAGTAAAAGGAACATTAGGTTGAATAAGACATTATAGCTATAAGAACTTAAAGCGTAATTTCCCTGCTCTCTGTAGCATATTTTCTTCTAAACTTGGTAAAACATCTCTTGTCTTTTTCCACCTTGCAGACGCTGATCTGAGGTCAGACTTGTAAACAAAGTGACTGTTGTTCATGTATACATTCGATTGGCGATGACAATGCGACTTATCTGTCAGCACTAATGTACTGACAGCAGCCACCTAAATCTTAAACGTGTTGATCTTCAGGCACGTTCAGTTCATGCCCTGTTAGTCATTTGGTCTCATAACTATGAGATAGTTTTTGCGTAATCGTGTTTTTGCCTGATCCCAAGTTTGCGTGAGGTGCACACATGTGTTCCTCTGTATAAGCACAGCTCATGTTCTTTTATCTGGTTGCTGTTCTCTGTCTCGATTACCGCCTGGACAACATGTTTTCACAACGGCGCAGCAATGAAAAGGAGTTTGTTTTTGTCCTCGCCGTGAACCTCGCGGTTGTCTGGACTCTCGAACATTTTTTTTTATTTTTTAAAACGTTCAATTTATGTCAGGCCAGAAACGAGCAGGAATTACACAGGCCTGGTTTGTTTTTTCCTCTTTGTTTGAACACCGCATTGTAATTCTCTCCGGTCTCTGTGTCCTTGAGTACATTTGGACCTCCATGTCTAGACCAGTGTGCCTGGGGAGGTGTGTGGATGTATGTGTGGAGGGGTAGGGGGGGTACAGGGGCATGACCACCGGAGCGTTACTGTACACATTCAAGACAGATGATCCTCTTTGTGTGGGGGTGGACCTTTTTATATATATATAAATGTGTGTGTGTGCTGTAGCTCTCTGTGCCCGGAGGGACAAGTTAACCCCTGCTTCAGTTCCCCTGCACAACCTTAAATAAATTAGCAGGACTCCCTGTGTCAGCTCTTTATTTGAGTAAATGTGTTTTGCAGGATTGAGAGCAGAGCTGGCCTCATGTTCATGATATAAATTCAAGATGAATGAATCCTCAAAGTCAAATAGAAAACTATAAAATAAACAATACCGCCTCTTTGTCCGCCTTCCAACATCCGTGTTTTGATGATGTTTTACATGCTGGTTTGGGGGATCTGAGCAACAGAAACGAGTTCATGTTTATTTGTGTTTTGGCCCAAACTAATATCAACCATGTGTGGGATGTTGCGGAGTTCAGGCCTGCAGCTAATTTAATGCTGAAACAAATCAATCATCAGCTAATGTGATTAGAGATTACTTGTCATTTTTTTCAAGCAAAACAAATCCTCAAAACATTCTGACTTCAGTTTATTTGTGAGGAGTTGATGTTTTGACAACAAACTGTTGGTAGAGAAACATGTTGACCTCAACGCAGGCTTCAGAAACTTGTGGTTTTACTTTTTTATTTGTACATTTATAGGCCAGAAAATCTGTAAATCAATTTAGTTTATTCTGTCAGTAATTTTTTATTTAGGTTTCTATTTTTTTACCTGACTAATAGTGCTGAAAAATGTTATTATTTAACAATATTAGATCTTAAAAACTATTTGTTTGAGATGAAGGAACCGGCATACGTTTTGTGTGTTTGCTTGACAGACGCCTTATTGATTAACATATTATTAAAACTATTGTTGACTGAAACATCTAATCAATCGCTTGACTAATTTCATTTCCTGTGTGACCAGTTCCATTGAAAGAGCCTTTAAATAGACCAGTAGTTGTCCAGTAATGTCTCTTAATTCACTGGAAAGACTGATGGTTTAGTTTCAGTTTGACCGGAACGTTTTAGTGTCTCATGAACTTTTAAACGATGTCTCACTCTGACAAGATGCAAGAATACAACTCCTGCGGTGAAATGCTGAAAACAAAATGTTTTATCTTATCCTTTGGTCCCTAGTCTGTAGCTTTACCGTACAGTCTGGGTAAAAGTAGACATCATTAAAGACATCACTGCAGGTTCAGCACAGCTGTCCAGTGAGAATCAAACACAGCAGTGAGATAAAAAATAATAATACATATTTTTAAACTACGCAGACAGATTCTAGGGGATTTGATAAGCTAATCCGGAGCAGAGTTTAGATTTAATAAAATGCCTTTGAGCCCCTCCACATTGCTCAGTCAGCAAGGTGGGCAGCAGCAGCAACACACAGAGCAACACACAGAGCAACACACAGAGCAACACACAAAGAACCCGGCAGCCTCCGGGCTGAGACGCTGTGACGACTGATGGATGGAGTTTATCACCGAGGTCGACTCGTTCTGCGTTTCTCCCCTCAAAGCTCCGCTTCGCGTCACCCTCGGGGGCTGATGGGTAATGAGCCGTGAAATATTCCAGTAATGGAGACGGAGGAGGACGCCGTTCGTTTGTGAGGGGGGTGGTAACCATGGAAACGCACATGGAGGAATCTTATTTACCTTCAGCGGGGAGGAGGAGGAGGATGCGGCCTTGTTGTTTTCACACACGTGCACTTGCTCACTCTGAGTATTGCGAGCTCTAATCTGAGCCGTTTCTCTCCCGAAATGATCTCAGCTGGGATGTGAAGCAAACAGAAGCCAGATAGGAGGATCCAGGCCCCAGAACTGTGACCTTAAAACCCCAAATATTGGTGGTGTCTGTCACATTCTAACCCCACTAGTCCATTATAACACTGATCCTAATTATTGCTCAATTTAATGAGTTTGTCCAGCTGATTGTGATGGATTGTCTACAGTCTGTAAACGACTGTTAATATTTAAAACCTGCACCTCTTCCTGACTGATCAGAGCTTTTGTAATTTAGAATCATTATTTATTAGTTTTATTTATTTATTGACACCTTCATTAGAAGATCTATCAAGACAAACCCTAGAAGATGTTTTACTAGAAACATGCTTTCCAACATAAAATCATATAATTTAGCTCATGTCTTCTACTAAGTAACGACCTAAAGCGGACAAATGCAGCTTTTGCATTTTAGATTTTTAATTAGTTGAGATTACTTTGTAGAAATCTGTTTTCACTTTGACATGAAAGAGTCTTTTTTTTTTTTTTGGTAGATTCTTGTCCAAAAAAAAGCCAAATAAAATTGACCATTATTCAGTGTTGAAACTCAATAAAAGGGGAAAACTTTGATCACTGTAATCTCTTTTTCATTAAAATAAAGAGGGAACGTGTTTTAAACCTATTTATTAATTATTTAGTACATCAACCCAATACAACAAATCGACAACTAAAATAACAACTCAACTCCTGCTCGTCTTCTGCTGTCAAAAGCTCAGTGGAAATAAAGATAATTCATGCCTTTGTTCATTCCTTAAGCCCATAAACCTCTGTATCGCACATCTGGAAAATGCTTTCAGGAGGCCTCAGTACTCGCTGCGCATTTGTCAACTTGCTGCCAGCGTTGCTTTTGGAAATGGCTCGTCTAGTGCTGATGCTTCCTGTCTGTGCAATCAGTTATTTGTCTAATATTTATCCAATACTATTAAACACACATTTATATTCAGCATGTTTGACTATCATCACATTGAACAAGAGGTTGTAAAATGAGGTGCAGCTGGTTAATCAGAGCTGTTTTATTAGTACTATAGACGTATGTAATAAAGTAAGCGGCTGGACTTAAATGAGCAGTCGGCTGCTCGTGGAAAGCTCCGCTCCTTTATCTTTTCTGCCGGGCTCAGTGTTTCTCCATCTGTTTCCCTCCACCGTTCTTTCCTCCCATAACCTCGGCCTCTCCCGAGCAGCGCCGCTAAGCCAGCCAAAGTCTTTGATCCCGCATATTCCCGTCTCCACACCAGTGCGACGCTCAAACAGGCCCGGGAGGGTGTCAGAGGGTGGAGGGGGGGGTAGTCGGCTGATAAATCTGGGTCAGCACTGGGGAGGGGAGGGGAGCACTGGGAAGAGGCAAACAGGGGAAGGGTGGTGGGCTCTGACCCCAGAACAGGTGCTGCAGATCCCAGAGAGGATTTTCAGCAGAGAGCGGCTGTTGCGCAAAACTCCTGCCGAGAGAAAGAATGAGTCCGACCGAGGGAGAGTGAATCATGTCTGCACTTTCAGAGGTTTTAGTGGGTCGCCTCTTCAGCGGCGAGCGCTCGTCTGGGTGCGTTTTTCAGTGAGATGCGGCTGGAACGGATGAGCATGTGTAATTCACTGCGACGGTGCGATCAAAGCATCTCCAGAGGATTATGTGAAAGGGTTCAGATATCACACAAATATCACATGTATGTGCTCAGAAGCCAAACAAACTCCCTTTATTCTCTCTCCTCCTGTTTCATCATGCTTCTTCTTTCCGTCTGCTCTCAGAGGCTGAAGGATGAGATAGCAGAGGTGACCACTGAGATTGAAAGCCTGGGTCTGTCTGAAGAGAGGTAAAGTGTCTCTCAACTGCCGTCTCTGTGCTTGTGCGTAGGCAGCGCTGGTCTACTCAGCCTGGTTTCAGTGGAAACATAGAAAATATCTGCCTGATCCCTAGAACAGAGCTCACTGCCTCGTGTTTAAATAAGTGATTAATCCATCATATATAAATATAGATCCCTAAATAATGGCACTAATGTGTGATCCTGAAAAACAGGCACCGTTTTGAATGAATAAGAAGCAGCCAAATTAGATTTTCAGTATTCTACAAAGATCAAAACAAGCTGCTGCTTTTGTGTTACCAACAGTTCAGAGCTGAAGGATCTTCAGTGGACAATACTGCCAGCACAGTGTGCACTTAACTGTTCCCGCAGCTTTTCAATGTCCTGAAAGCTTCATTTAATCAGCTGAAGAAGGCTGAAGTGTGTCCTTAAAACGGAGAAAAGCAGCAAATCCTCCCTGAAACCAGGCTGTTTGATGTTTTCTCTCGATCAATAGCTTGCATGATGATCAGAATTTGTGCTGATTTACCCAAAGAAAAGATTATGAATGTGTGTTTCAAATATATTGATCTGTTTTTAGGAAAAGTATGCAGAGGAATAAACAGATGGCCATGGGCCGGAAGAAGTTCAACATGGATCCCACGAAGGTAGAAGCTTTGTCAAAGCGCTTCTTTGTTTCATGTGGTGGTTTCTGGTTCAGTTCAGTGAAGGTTTGAGCTGAGAAAGAGGTCATGACTTAGAAAGTTGTGTTGTGTCCGACCACCAACCCGCAACAGCTCACAGAGGAAACAACAACCAGAGAACATCTGTTTGTTTGAACTGACTTGAAACTGATGTTTTGAGATTTACAGCTATGAAACTAACTTTTAATTAAAGTGACACAAACTGATGTCTTGATGTTTTTAACTCGTTTGTTTTATATTCAGTGTGTTTGTATTTGCAGTGTGTGATGTTTAAATCAGGCCGTGTGTTCTGGTTTTCCCTCTCAGGGGATTCGCTTCTTGATCGACAGCTCGCTGCTGAAAAACACCAGCGATGACATCGCCCAGTTCCTCTACAAGGGAGAAGGCCTCAATAAGACGGCCATCGGAGACTACCTGGGGGAGAGGTCCGTAATAACAATGATGCTTCTTCTAATTAGTAGCTCGTTTCACTGCACAAGTGTTCCAGTGATTCTCTACCTGTAGCAGCCTGCACGCACAAGGCTAATATGATCATTTACACCTGTGCTGTTCTCTGTGGTAAAAGGTTTATTAGAGCTGCACCTGTGCTTTTGTTAACCGACTGAACCCCAAAACTGACTGGAAGGTTATAAAAGCATGTAATCTTTTTTTAAAAATTACCAAAATTCCACCATTTATCAGAACCAGAAACTGTGAAAATAGAAAGAATTGTCGTATTTTCAGCTTTCTGATGGTTCTTGAGCTTACGTGTGGCTTTCTGTTTCATCTGGGAAATTACATTAAGTGACATTTGGTTATTATCCCTTTTTATTTTTACATGTCCTAATTAAATACAAACCGCTTCCACTGACCAGATTCTGTAAAAATGAAAACTTCTCATCTCCTCGGTGCAACCGTGACGCCGTTAGTCACTCAGTTCCACCAACAGTCACACACCAAAGATTCAGGGCACATAGGAGACACATATGGAAACACATGTAAAGGTATTAAACATCTATAGTATGCAGAGCCACCACTTTTTTTTTTTACCCAGCATTGGTAAGACCTGTGGCTAAAAATGTTGTACATGTTGATTCCAGGTTTTTAATTTTCCTTTTTTTAAGATTTATGGTGATATGCCTTTGCTATATTGCACCAAAGGCATTTTTAAATGTTCTCTACCTCTAGCCATGTCTGTGACGTTCCCATAGAGGTGAAGGACTTTATACTCCAGTGAAAAATGAGACCACAGTGACTGTACATGTGACAGGAGTTCACAAGTTCGAAGAAGAAATCTGGTCACATTAATGTCCACTACAGCGTTTATAATATCATGTTACACTAGCAGTTCTTAAGGCTCATCCATGAGTCTTCTCCGTGAGTTAAACTGAGCTGTGTTCACTTCTTGATCCTGCTCTCCTTCTGTTTCCTCCCCCTGTGTTCGTGCGCTCGTGGGTGTGTTTCTGTGTGGGATCCTGTGCGTCGTGCAGAGACGACTTCAACATCGAGGTCCTGCACGCCTTCTTGGATCTGCACGAGTTCACGGATTTGAACCTGGTTCAGGCCCTCAGGCAGTTCCTGTGGAGCTTCAGGCTGCCCGGCGAGGCTCAGAAGATCGACCGCATGATGGAGGCGTTCGCCCAGCGATACTGCCACTGCAACCCCGGAGTGTTTCAGAGCACAGGTACGTGAGCGTTCAGTGGAGGAAGAGGCGCCGGCGTCACGAAGAAAGCAAGTTTAAAGTCACAGTTTTTACATGTTACCAAAGTAAATGTACAGAATCATCAGTAAAACAATTATTCTTCCCACAATGTTGTTGTTCCGTTAAATATTTCAACCACACACCATTGTTTTAATTCATATTTATGGTATATTTCAGTGTCTGGTGTCCTCTGAGATACTTCATTTCAAACAGAAACACTGGACACAGAGGGCAACAACATCTAACAAGAGTAAAAAATTTTCATAGAAGGATCTGATAAGTAAATTTAAACCCAGTGTAGTTATTATTTTAGTAGGCGCATCCTGAAACAGCACATCCTCACATTCTGCCTGTTTTCAGATACCTGTTACATCTTGTCGTTCGCTGTGATCATGTTGAACACCAGTCTGCACAACCCCAACGTGAAGGACAAGCCCTCCGTTCAGAGATTCACTGCCATGAACAGAGGAATCAATGACGGAGGAGACCTGCCAGAGGATCTACTCAGGGTGAGGGAGGTTCATGTTCCTCAAACAACTGGACAAATCAGCTTCCTCTGTGATTTTTCAGTCGTGACTCGATAATCCGACACTAAATGTAAAACCTTCTTTTATGTCGGATAGCAAGGCTGTCGGATTGTCAAGACGGAGGTCGAGATACGAGGAGGGCTTGATGCTGGAAGGATCATTAGTTGTTAATATTTATTGTTCATAGTTGTTGTGATAACTAGGAGGGCTGGTCCCAATAGCACCTTCTGGGCTCAGTTAATGATGAATATCAGAATATTCAGCGCAGTCGGGGGGCACTTCCACCCCATCTGAGTGCTCCAACGGGGTGGAAGTGTCCAGAACACACAGGCAGTACTTGGCTGCTGATGCTAGTTTAGTTAGCGCTCACACTTCTGTTTCCTCCTTCGGTGGCGGTGGGGGAGTGGCAGATACGCTCCACCGTTACCATCCATGTTTACTTCCACAAACACTGAGCACGCTCGCTGCGTGTGACGTCGTCGTGTCCTCTTCTGCGCATGCGGGACACTTTTGGGTCGTATGAAGTTCACACAGCAGATCACATACAAGTCACATTGAACTGGAAATGTGAAGGAACTCACAAAGAAATCAGATTTCACAAAAAAATCCTCATTGAGCATCAAGTCCTGCAGTGTGAACGTAGCCAATCTGTGGGATTGTTCAGTCAGATAATACGCCGTCATCCTCATTTGTGACATAAAATGTCATGTCGGAGTCAGAATCCAAGGCTGTCGCTATGTTAAGGCTGTTTTTAATGGGTTCTGCTCGTTTTTCCTAAAAACCTGTCGGATAGCAAGGTTTAGGATTGTTAAGGGTCGATTATCGAGTCATGACTGTACTAAACACAGAAACCATGAGGAGTTTGTTTTACGTCCCACTATGTGATGAGCTGATATCGAGTCAAACTCGTCCACTTTGATAGAAAACAGCTCACGTGACACTTTTTATTTTTGAACATTCCTCTAACTGTTCAACAGGAGCAGTGCAGCTACAGTAACCGTAGCACCATAGTTTCAACCACAAATAGCTGCAGCTGTGCTCACAGCTGGTGGTTATATACAGACACAGGTTGGAGCTTTGAATTCTATACACTATAAATGCATCATGTTAAATGTTGGATCGTCTCACCTTTCTGTCGTATTTACAGAGTGTTTCCTTAACTGGCAGTGTGGTCGAGCTGTTGATATGGATCAGGGGGATGCAAAACTTAATGCAAGGTCACACCGAAGTCTGTAGAAGGAAAAAAAAAACCTTCCCCCTGTGACTCACTATGAGGTTGTTACAGAATCAACCCTCTCATTTCAGGAAAATGATCTGCTGGATGCAAAAACAAACTTTGCTTGTTGTTTTCTTTGTCCATGTGGACGTTGTTCCCAACAAACGCTTCTATATTCATGCTCACGTTCCAAATTTGCAGTGATTCAGGTTTTGTGACAGGTTATTTGTGTCATGTTTGTAAGTTTATAACGGTGTGCCTTTTTGGAATATAATAATCAACGTCTCACGTCTCGTCCTCTGTGCAGAACCTGTACGACAGCATCAAGAACGAGCCCTTTAAGATCCCGGAGGACGACGGGAACGACCTCACGCACACTTTCTTCAACCCCGACAGAGAAGGATGGCTGCTGAAACTCGGTGTGTAAAACATTTGGGTTCATTCAGTGTGGATCAGAACAAACAGGTCGGCCCTCTGCTGGACCGGACGTGTATCAGCACCTGTGTTCACGTTGAAACTCTGAACAAAGTTGACTGAAATTCTGTTGAGTTGTTCTCCTGCTGACCTGTTTCTTGTCTGTTTGTGTTTCATGGTGTTGACTCCAGGAGGTATGTAGAACTCAAACAGCTTCACTGCACTGCTTTGCTTCTGAGCTGCTCCGCCTGTTTTACCCCCACTGGCTGTGTGCATTCACCTTCGCATCGCAGTTGTAGTCAGAATAAAGCCAGCTCATTCATTCTTACATCTGTGTTCACCCTCTGCTAAATGCTCTTGTGCCCTGATGTGGAAAATTTCCGTTTTCACATCTGCTTCTTACTTCTGGGCTCTTTAAAACGGCAACTGACCCGAGTTTTAACCTCAGCTTTTGCAGCCAGTCGGCTACAATTAACCCGCTGATTTGTGTGCGTCGCTGTCAACATCGAGTCCAGTTTTGTGAAGCCATAGCTCACCTGAGATCTGTCCGCAGGTGGACGGGTGAAGACCTGGAAGAGACGCTGGTTCATCCTCACAGATAACTGCCTCTACTACTTTGAATACACCACCGTGAGTAGCTCCTGTTTGGCCGCGCGAGAGAAAAGAAATCTCCTAAATACTATATGCATGCTTGGGAGAGTTATACTTAGAGCTTTGCACTGTAATTTATTTTTTCTCTCTGTTTACAAGGATAAGGAGCCCAGAGGGATTATTCCACTGGAAAATCTGAGTATCAGAGAAGTCGATGACTCCAAGAAACCGGTAAACTGCTGCTCTCTCTTCTCTCTCTCTGACACTTGTTGAGCACCTCT